GGTGTGTGTGTGTGTGTGTGTGTGTGTGTGTGTGTGTATGCACCTTGTGTCAGTATGCATTAGAATCAGTGCGCTTGGGTGGACAGGTACATTGCAGCTTGACTTTGTCCCAGCAGTCATACATAATTCAGCATTCATTTTTTTGAGAATCCCGTGTGCTTTGCCAAGATTGGAGAGGAACTTCTTTCCTCACTTCCCCTCTTGTTTCTTTCCATTCTTTTACAGGCCATGATATAATTGCCTGGTTGACACACAAATACAGAATCAGCGAGGAGGGTAGGTGTACAGATGCATACAATGTGCGCTTGATGATTGACTGTTACGTATCTGCTGTTTTTCTCCCGTCTCTGTGTGAGCGGCATGTTGTGTGTCGTTGGTGTGTTGCCAGGATATGGTGCCTGATGCGGTAGGTAGTTATTTGAGTGTGCATCGTAGGGAAGGATGTTTCCAGTAAACAGGAATGGGGTTAGCCCCTGTGGGACTGGGTCTGATTAACTCACCTGATGATCTGAGTTTGATTAGTGTCCCCAAAGAGATCTGCACCTCAGGAGATTTTCAACTAAATTAGACGTTGAGGGGGAAAAAAGTAGCCCGCTGGTCCCTTTTGCTTCCGAGCAGCAGGAAAGAAAAGAGTGGAGTCAGGCAGAGAGAGACAGAGAGAGAGTGGTAGAAGCTGATTAAAAAGCATCCCACGGCTTTTTTTGGGAGCTGTCACTCAAAAAAGTAGGGCTCTTTAACAAATGAGGAGAGACTGAAGATTGATGAGGCGTTCCATCGCTGGAGCAAAGCCTTGATTTATGAGAGATGGTTGACAATGCTCGTATGTTTGATAAAGAAAAGTGCAGTGCCAACAGCTCTTTTCCAGTCACAGCTACTTAGTCAGTTCAGTCTAAAAGTTTTAGTCCTAATGAAATCAGCATCCCCTCTCAGGTGCCATCAGACATGACACGGTGATAAATAAAAAACCTGAATAACAATCTGGTGAGATGTTTGAGAGTCTTCTTCTGTGGTGTTCGACAGAGTCTCTGCACCTTGGCAACATGCTGGTGAAATATGGATATATTTACCCCCTCAAAGAGCCGAGGTGCCTTGTGCTACGGCCCGATGAGTCACCCTACCGCTTCCAGGTCAGGCCGCTCAGTATGTCCATTCTGCCTACTTTCTACAACCCTGGCCCTTCCTCCATCAATCTTTCAGTAAAACATCACCTTCTCTCTATTAGTGCCCATCTCCCATTTTCACTCTCACTCCATTAGCCCACTTTCTAATCCCTCATCCATCTGCCAGCCTGCTGCTTTTTCATCAACTGCTTCAACATCAGTTTCAGTCAAGAAAAAAAAAATAAAAAGGAAGAAGAAAAATGTTGCTTTTAGTTACTTAGGTTTTTTTTGTGTGTGTGTTTTTTACAGACTCCTTATTTCTGGACTAGTACCAGGTGGCCCGCGTCAGAGCTGGACTATGGTAAGAAAAAACTCTAAATATACATGTGATCTCTGAGGGACGATGTCATATATAAAACATTATATAATCATGATTACAAACATGTAAGCTCTTTTTTAACATATATCCTATGATTCCTGTCTTTTTCACTCTTTTTAAAAATTATTTACATGAAACACTTTGCGAAAGAATCCTACACGACTAAGAGTTTTTATACTTTAGTGGTTTATACATTCACCTGACACATAAGAGAACCCCAGTTTGAGACCAGGAGGAGACCCAGGAAAAAGAGCAGCTGAAGGCAGAAAGGAGCCTTTATAACATCTAATAAACACAGGTACAGGTCTTTGTACCTCTGATTTCACCTCTTTCTCTTTGTTTTCTTTCTTATATCCCAACAGCAATCTATCTGGCTAAAAAGAATATAAGAAAACAAGGCGAACTGATGGAATATGAGAAGGTGAGGAAATCATGTGGGTATTCATGTCTGTGCATCTAAATGTCAGAGAAAGTGTGTGTGTGTGTGTGTTTGTTTGTGTTATGAAATATGCAGCAGGAAAATTTTGGCCAAGAAGTCTGTGTCACCATTCCTCCTCCTCTCCTCCCTCTTTTCCTTTTGCTTTTTTAGGAAAGGTACAGTCTGTTGCACAAGAGGATCAACCACACATGGGACTTTGTTGTGATGCAAGCCAGAGAGCAACTCAGGTGCACTTTGTCGCAAACATGCACGCACACACACACACACACGTGCGTTTACCAGCGTGCACGAACTAACCTTGTGATTTATGTTCAGAGCGTCCAAACAGAGGCGGAAGGCTGACCGCATTGTTCTGGAGTGTCAGGAGCAGGCTTACTGGCTCATCAACAGACCCCCGGTAGGCTCAATAACACTGTACTGTATTCAACTGTACTGTGCTGTACATGCTATGCTACAGCACAACTACATGATCATCTTTATATATGGCAACTATTAAAGCTGTATCCCAGCATAAAAGCAGACAGCAGTCCCACTAAAGTTCACCCACAGTCCCTTTTCCCTTCTGCATGAAATATTCAACCTATCCGGTGAGAGCCTCAGTTGACATAGAGAGAGTGAGAGCAACAGAGGGACAAACAAAGAGAGCAAGAAAAAAACCATCATCATATTCCACATCTGTTTGTTAGCTGAACACCAGCTTTGTTTGGTTTTTTCTTCGATAGAGGCAGGCAGGCAGAGAGAAGTACCAAAGGGGAAGGAAAAAGCGTTCACGTGCGTGTGCATGCCGCGGGAAAGAGGGGAGGGGAAGATGAAAGGGGTAATGGGAGGCGGGTGAATAAGAAGACAACGGTTTTGGAGGAGGGACTCCATCCTGCCTCGACCTTATGAATTAGGGACGAGGGCTTGGAGAAAAAGAAAGAAACCTGGGACTAAAAATCAGAGCTAGTGAAGTGGAAACTTCTAGGGAGGCTAAGTGCTCGCTCACACGCATCTCATCAGACACACACCCACACACACAGATATTGTATAGACACATGCATCAAATACACTGTACTTAGATTTTACTTTGTGTGCTCATATGTTATTTTTTGTTTTTCTTCTTTTTTTTTTTACAGCCTGGGGTTAATAATGTGTTGGACACAGGCTTGGAGCGACCAAATAGCTTCAGCTGCAGAGTCACACTGGTCAGTGACTTCATTGTATTTCTCTACTTCCTGCTTTTAAAAAATGCATTAACAATGTAACTTTTCACTCTGTGTTTAATCGCCTCCTTTTGTTCTTTCTTGCCACTGGGATCGTTTGAAAGTAAGTTTATCTGCAGACCTGCAGTGTATTAGGAATGATTATAATAATCATGATTGTAAATCAAGGTTAAAAAGTCGAGGACCTGAGATGACAGGGTAGAGTCAGTCGCGTCTGTTGTCCCAAATGGGAAATCTAATTCAGTATGTTAGTCTGTAATCTCATAATAGGCTGTCATTGTTTGTAAAATTATATATTTAATGCTACTGTTTGTGTGTCTGTGACACATTTGGTCACAAGGCAGCTATCCTCAAATGTATATGTTTCTATAACTGTAACATACATTATATAAAGGTTTAATGTGTGACCTCACATGATGACCCTGTGTTACTCTTTACAGAACTAGAACAGTGACTACTACAAAAGAGAGGTAAGTGCAGCATGTAATTCAGATGCCATCAGATTAAGTACGAGTGTATAGAGCACATACAAGGTTCTTCCTCCTGCCTTTGTTTGCAGATTGAAGCCTGTAGAAAGGCTCTTGGAAGAAACCGTGTAAAATCATCCATCTGCCTAGAAGGGTATGTGTCAGTTTGCTAAAGGCTCACATGCAGACACGCACAGATACACACATAATAGACGTCTGATTGCCCGGGTCAAACTCGGCGTCTTCTAGTACGCACACACATGCACATAAAGCTTAGTGCTCCCTCTAGAAGAGCCACTAATGGATGCTTCCCGGGGCGAGTTGGAATTAGTGGCCATTAACTCTTATGATCTGCAGGACTAATACAATAATACCGCGTGTGTGTGTGTGCGTGCATGTGTGTTCTTGTGTGCGCGCATGCCACTGCACTTGTGCGTGGATGTGCAGTTTTCTGAAATACAGCGAGCAGTACCTGAACCACGATCCCATTATGCAAGGCTGCCTGCCCAGTAACCCCTGGATCTCTGATGACACCGCGCACTGGACGATGAACGCAGAAATGTGAGACAATGCAGAGATAATAACCAGTCCACACAGTACAGTACTCCACACATCATCGGGTCATGTAGCAGCGTGTTAGATCATATATATTTTCTCACAGTTGAAGTACTGAACTTATCATTCTTTTCCTTATTTTACACTAAGACACTTTACACTTATTTAACATTAAGTAGTAATTGAGACTATGAAAGCGCTACAGAAACATCAT